GTTGACCTATGAACCAGGAGGTTATGGTTCAATCTAGTCAAGGGCACATGTTTGGATTGTGGGCTCAATCCCCAGTGGGGGGCGTGCAGGAGACAACCAATCCATGATTCTCTCTCATCATTCATGCTTCTATCTCTCTCTCCCTCTCTGAAATCAGTGAGTATATATTAAAAAAATAATTAGGATAAAAATTAATCTTGGCATATGTGGACTTCAAGGACAGTCTTTCAATGTAATAGTCACTTAGGTTGGCATTATCACTCCACCCTCAAAAACTTCGCGAGTGATTCGTCAGAGATGTCACACTCACTTAAAATCGTTCTTAATGAGATCGACCATCTGTTATTCCCAAAATCATTAGAATAGGCTGAAGCTAGTGAACTTTTGTAATGTCTTTGAATGTCTAGCATCTGAACCCTGTTGGGGAACTTCTCATCATGAATCTTGGTGGGAGACAAAGACAACATCTTGCTAGAGACGCTGACATTGCTACTCATTTCCTAGCTTCCGTTGCAGCTAGAGCAGAGGTGAAGCAGGACAGAGATGAGCGGATCAACCTCTGGTAGTGGTATGGTAGGGGTATCCTCCCCAGAATCAGTTCTGTGGCATCCTTGTAGGTTAGACTCCCGCTCCTCAGACGTCCCCTTAAGTCCGATACCATGAACAATAATAGAAGTGGCATGAAATTCTCAAGAAGCAAAGTGTAAACTGCAAACTGGTTAATTCATATACTTGTTATTACTAACACAAGAAACAAAACAAACACTAGGACAGTTGTTGCACAAAAATGATCTCCGAAGCTGCAAATGTTTGCCACCTTTGATCCAGACATCTCACTTCTAGGAATGTGTCCTCTTTTTGCACAAGTCAAATAAGAAATGAGAGAGGTGCAGTATTGTTTGTTATAGAAAAGACTGAAAACAACCCACATATCCCACCAAAGGGAACTGCTTAAATAATATCCCACAAACATACAGTGGAGTATTATGCAGCTATAAAAAGTGAGAAAGCATTTTATTAAACATACAGTGGAGTATTATGCAGCTATAAAAAGTGAGAAAGCATTTTATTAAACATACAGTGGAGTATTATGCAGCTATAAAAAGTGAGAAAGCATTATATTGCACTAGAAGCCCAGTGCATGAAATTTGTGCACTGGGGGGAGGGGGGTCCCCTCAGCCTGGCCTGTGCCCTCTTGCAGTCTGGGACCCCTTGGAGGATGTCCACCTGTGACATCCTCTCACAGTCCAGGACCCCTTTCTTCTTACTGCCTGCCTGCTTGCTGCTCCTTAGTGCTCTTGCCACCACCGTTGAGCTTGCCAGCTGTGAGTCTGACTTCTGGCTGAGCAGCGCTCCCCCGTGGGAACGCACTGACCATCAGGGGACAACTCCTGCGTTGAGCATCTGTCCCCGGGTGGTCAGTGCACATTATAGCGACCAGTCATTCCACTGGTTATTCTGCCTTTTGGTTGATTTGCATATTAGGGTCTTATTATATAGGACTAGAGGCCTGGTGCACAAAAATTTGTGCACTCGGGGGTCCCTAGGCCTGGCCAGCAATCAGAGCTGATCTGTGGGGTCACTGGTGAGCCCCTGCTCGCTCCCGCCTTGGTGGGCCTGGCACTATCTGCTCACCGACCCCACCCCCACCACCCCACCACCACTGCCGGTTGGGGCCTGCGGGCTGGGGACAGCTCCTGCATTGAGTGTCTGCA